CAGGGCCACCTCCGGTGGCCCTGCAGCTTTCCCTTTTCCTGCTAAAAGATGGGAATTTCGGTCCCACATGAAAAATGGGCTAACGCTTTTTTTTTTTCCCCACCAGGTATGTATATTTCCCCCCCCTGCTTGCTTGCATGTTGAGGGGGTGAACCGAGCCTTTCCAGGTCTTCCTCACAGAAGCAGACGAAAGCAGGCTTTGTTGTGACTCAAAATGGGGGTTTCCCCCCTCCCCCCCTCAACATTTAAGTTTTTAATTTCTTTGCGTTAAAACTTTTTTTTTAAATGGCGTTCTCGGCTCGGGGATCCCAAGTGCCGGGTGGTCGCACAGAGGGATGAAAAAATTTATTAACACGTGGCTTGATGGAGCATATAGAGCGTGCCGGGTCTTCAATATCAACCCCCAAAACCTATGGCACTGCTAAAGGTAGAAGGAACTGCGGGGAGTCACCGTGTGTTACACAGAGCATGCAAACTTTTAAATACCAAACGCAAAAGCTTGCAGCACTGCTAAAAGCAGAATGCTGGGAAGTCACCCTCTTAAAGCACGTTGCAATCTGTCTTTGCTGGTAGATGTGCTGAAACAAGCTTTCTTGGCCCTTTTTTGCCAAGCGCGTGCACATCGACTTCCTTGGTTTGGGTCTTGCTTTTGACTGTAGATATCTTAATCTCTGCAAAAGTAAACACTTCAGTGAATAAGCGAGACCTGGAGTGTGCTGGTGTGGTTTCACCACTGGAAAGTGTTAAAGCTTGCTTTCAACAAATGTGGAGCATGTATGGACGAAGCTGGTGAAAACTCGGTAAAATTTTAATGCAGCTGAAATGCAAAGATTCTGCAAGGGAGGAAAGTGATCCTGACAATTTTTGAAAGGACTTTGTGTTTCTGTTAAGCTATTCTAGTTGCTCAATTTTAGTGTAATTCTCAGTATTAATATCAGAAAATTGCTTGTTTGGTCAAAGTCATACAGTAAAGAGCCAGGATTGTAAAGACAGCAATATTAGAGCTGAACTAAAGCAGCTTTTCCCCCTGTTTTGTTGTAATCGTGGTTCTCATGTTCTGGTAATAGTGTGCACAGTGAAGTACTGCTCTAATAATCGGCGCACAATCTGCTCTTCTTGTTAAGTGCCTAACCAGCAATTTGAGGCGGGTGGTAGCCAGTAAGTTAATGATCATTAATGCTGCATGAGGTGAATGCTTAAAATGTCACACGACACAGTATGATATGACAGGAGAAGTACAAGGCTCAGTAATTCTGCAAACTAACTATTCATGCCTAATTAACCAGTGGTGTTTTTGTTGCTTTCCCCCCACCTCTTACAGAAGGGGTCCTCGCCGGTTGCTCCGGTTCACATTGTCAATGAAGAGTCATCTGACAAGACTAATTTGGGCTTTATTCATGCATTTGTGGCTGCTATATCGGTCATCATCGTATCAGAACTGGGGGATAAGACCTTCTTCATTGCAGCCATCATGGCAATGCGGTACAACCGTTTGACTGTACTGGCTGGTGCTATGCTTGCCTTGGGACTGATGACATGTTTATCAGGTTAGCACTCTTTTTGTTTCATCTCTTAAAATGTGCAGGGTACATACTTATCAATAAATCTTAACTGAAATTAAAAAGAAAGTAGTAGGTATACGTAGTTTTCTGTTTTGAGGAGAGTATGAAGGTTTTCCTGGGGATCATGGCTCAGATTGAATATTTAGGCTTTTACCTGTCATGAGGTGTTTGCACTCCCTAGACCTCACTATGAGTTTAAGGAAGAGGAATGGGATTGGGAGCCTAAGCACTTCCTTTGATTTTTGGGCCACTAGTTTCCTTTTTATTTTTAGGTCCTCTTAAATTAGCATGCCTATAGGGAATGTGGGAGTGACTTCCATTTTTTCCTCCTAAGGCGAAAGATTCTTAAGTTGATGACAAATTACCTTTGTCTGACTTGTGTCCCTGTATGTGTAACTGTTTGGATTTGTGCTGGGAGCTGCGTAAGCGGAAGATGTCGCGACATTCTGCTGTGATCCTTTGGGATGGGTGGCACTGACAGAGCCAGGAGCTGGGGGTGGGGATGTGAGGTGTCAGGTGGCACTTGAGGAACCTGGAGCTGTGGGTGCTTACATAGCTGTGATCGTAAAATGGAGCAGCCTTCAGGTATATCAGATGCAGCGAAAATTTTGTAGGTGTGCTCATTTCTAGCAATGCCCATTTCAGAAATAACTGAAATAGTGTTCATTAGTTTACGTACACTGGAGACAGCCGACTAACTGGCTTGAGGCTTCTCAGTGAGTGTTTCTGTGAAGAGCTTTTGGATGTCTAGCTATTGCTGTATATATTGCTGCAATTATTATTGCAGCCTTGGAGCAGTTTCCATTTGCACTGCGTGTAACGATAGCATTGTATGACTTTCTTCTATTACTCACTTAATGTTAGTCTTTGATGCTTCTTCCACTTCTGCTTCATTTAATGTTACTTAGTACTGCAGGTACACTGTCCTGTAAATCTTGCCATTTCTTTTCTCCTGCCCATTACAGCTCTCCCATTTTCTATACTAAGTCTTTCTTCAAATCTTTCTCGATACTTTTTCATAAATGCTTTTTTTTCTACTCTATCCCCCAGTTTAGAGGTTCTCAACTATTTCTTCCTTTTCAGAAAGGAGCCTTTTTTTTCTTCCTCTTTTCCCGGTTTTTTCCTTCTCCTTCCCTTTCTTCACTGCCCTTGTTTTTTACAAGCTGTGTCTGGAAGTTCCTGGGGTTCTTGCCCATGCTGATTTCATGAAAATGTGCTCCCTGGCTCCAAGTAATCACTACTTGGGGTGTTTTTTCAAGCTGTGCTTAGAGACAGTTCTACCCTTATGACAAAATAAGCTGCCTTATCATTCTGATTATTTCATTATTTCTGTGCTTGTGTATGCAAGTAATGCCCCAAAAAGTCTTCTTGTACAGTTTCTTGCATTGCTTTACTGTAGGATTTTCAGTCTTCAAAACGAAGTTTAGTTTAACTCCTTTTTCATTTAGCTGCGCAACTAATACTGTTATTCATATATGTATGTGCCATGTTTTCTAGTAGTACAGCCTGATTACTTTTGGTCTCATAATCTTACTTTTGGTAGTGGCAGTGTTTCCAGATTACGCAGTAACTTCGGAGTGCATTTTTCAACTAGAAAAGTGTGTGCAAGAAGATACACATGGTAACATGCTTCCTTTTAGCTAATTGCGTGTGGAATAAAACAACAGAAACAGTTGCGAGTGCATGGCTTAAGCAGCCTTAAATGTTAGGTGTGGAGTTCTTAATTTCCTCTGATCATTACAGGCCTTTTTTGTCCAGAAAGGTGAACTAGCCTTACTTTGTGACAAAGAAGCAAGTACTTTGTCCTGGATACATATTTCTTCTTTGAGAACTAGTTTTGGCTTAGTTTGATCAGCTTTGGTATCTGCAAAAGTAGATGCGCTGTGGAGGTAGCTGTTGGTCTTTGAGTGGGCTCAGTGCTTTTAAATCAAAGGAAGATCAAAGCTGGTCATGTTGTGTGTTTGTGGGGAGAGGAGGGAATAGTAATGTGCAGGTATTTGCACTTGGCAAAAGAAGACACGCACAGATTCACGCAGTGGGATGATTTGTGGGTATATCTGGTAGATTCAACCTGTAGAAAACCTTATTCTAACTTTATCTGATAAATGAAATGATTGGAAAGAGATGCTGTCCAACGTGTAGCCATATATAAAAATGGAATTAATCGGTATACACCGTGACTAACGTGATTACAGGAGATAGTTTCATGGCATGCTTGGGGAAAGGCAGGGCTTGCATAATCCTTGATGGGAAAGATAATGTTGCTTGGACTGGATCTTGGGAATAGCAGCACATCAACTTTGCCTGGTGTGCCTTGTCTGTGTGTTAGTTAATAGACTTCAGTCTCTGGTATGACCAGTAATGGTTGGAGTTTCTAGAGTGTTGTTACCTTGCCAAAAAAAAAAATAAAATATGTAACACTAACAAAAGATGCAATATTTATTTATCGGTGGGTATTTGAATCGCAGACTTTGCTAGCGAGCATTTCTTAGATGTGGGAAAAACAATTATGATCCTCATGCTTATTTTTTTAAATGACACATCTGTTTTCTTTCAGTTTTATTTGGCTATGCCACCACAGTTATTCCTCGTGTGTACACATACTATGTGTCAACGGCACTGTTTGCAATTTTTGGCATCCGAATGCTTCGGGAAGGCTTGAAAATGAGTCCAGATGAGGGTCAGGAAGAGTTGGAGGAAGTTCAAGCAGAAATTAAAAAAAAGGATGAGGAAGTAAGTCAAAACTTGCTGTGAATTATGGCCCATGAAATAGTTACAGCTGTGAAGCTGCAGAAAGGCAGTGTCATGTTTGGGGTGATCAGCTGTGTCTGTGATTGACAATTTGACACAGAAAATGACTGGCAAATGGGACAGAAGTGGCCCCTGGGGGCTGTTTCAACAGGTGATTCCAGTTCTGTGGCAAGCCTGCCTTCTCAGGAAAATAAGGATTTTCTCCATAGAGTCCTTTTGGTTTTGTTTTTTTTATTTAAATGCATTATGAGCAGAGAAAATATCAACAGTTTTGCCTCTACTTTTATTTCTTTTTCAGGCAGAATAATGCTGGTTTTTATAGTGTTGCAGCCAAGGTCTCTGTTGTAATAACTTTCTAAATATACTGGTTCCATTCTAAGGAATGGTGTGGAGTATTAATCTTATCTCTTTCAAGATTTTTTTTTTCATTAATTTTATTAAATCCTTATTTGAGAGCCACCACTTGGGAAGAGTGGGATCCCTGCTTTAAAAATAGGAGGAAATGTGCTGTGTAAGTGTAAGCAGTAGAAGATGGACAGTAACTGGAAACTAGAGGTGATTACAAGTGGGTGTATGTGGGGGTGTATATAGCTAGTTTTTTAAAGTGATGTCCTAATATAAGTAGTGCATTGACAATGCAGCAGTCAGTGCCTAATAGCATTCCAGATACTAGCTTTACAGTTTAAGTATTTCATTTGGGTTGTTTAGATGGCATTTCTAATCTTATGGTTGGTTTTTTTGTTTTTCCCCTTGTCCTCCACAGCTTCAGAGAACTAAACTGTTAAACGGGCCAGGAGATGTGGAATCAGGGCCAGGCACCACTATACCTCAGAAGAAGTGGCTACACTTTATTTCTCCAATCTTTGTTCAAGCTTTTACCTTAACGTTTTTAGCAGAATGGGGTGATCGTTCCCAATTAACAACCATAGTCTTGGCCGCCAGAGAGGTGAGTGTTGCAGAATGCCCGCTGTTCTTTTGCCCAATTTGGGTAGCCCGCAGAGAAGCGGGAGACACAAAATCCTCTTGCAGGAGGTATCAGGTTCACATCTGCTGCCTTGCTGTGCCTTACTTAGCGTTACAGCTGTGCCGAGACCTGAAAATAAATGTACTGAAGCTCTGTGTATTATTAAAACTGTTGCTACATGATTGGGACTGCACAGGCATTTCTGGAAATAGTTGTTTTATATCATGCAGCTGAATACAATTGGTTTTGTTACAGTGTCAAGAGATGTTACAGAACCTCTTTTTCTCCGATCTGTGTGGTCATACTGTTTTAATACAGTAGCTTTAAAAAGAGACCTTCATGCTCGCAAACTTAAAGCTGTTAAAAAGATAGATACCTATTTTTTAAAACCTAAGTGAATACGGTCCAGTGGATAGAACTAAAATAAACTCTGAACTGCTGTGCAGTGAGTAATACTGTAAATTAAATTATATCCAGCATGGTGATTGGAATGTATATAACTGTATTACATTTAAAGCAAAATTCAGGCTTATAGTCAACCTTTTAATAAACATAAGTAGCTTGCCTGTGCTCTTTCATGCATCAAGATAATTTACATTTTTTTCCCTAGGACTCATGCTTCTTTCAGTGCACTTTCAGACCTTCCCTAGGGGTAAATCAGGGCTGCATAATGAAGGAAATAATCTGTAGGAACCTCTTGTCTTTATTACAGTGCAGGGAAGGTGCTTGGAGCTAACAAGGCAGGGAACAGCAGGATGAGGATGATCTCTTTGTTCAGGCAGTTACATGTCATCCTGGAAAACGAGGAATTATTACTGCCTCTGCCCAAGTTTTTATGTGGTGCTAGGCAAGTTGCTTAAGCCCCTCTTTTCACGGGTGGTGGTTGACTTCTGGTTTGCGTTTTCTGAGTGTCCCATTAGGAAGTGCCCATCAGACTCTGTGGTCTGATTTGCAAAGTGCTGAGCATTGCAACTAAAGACCGAGGATGTTGTGCCTTTAGCATATGAAGTGTTTGTGCTACAAAAAAGAATATGACAAAAAAACGAATTGAAGAGGTCTTGATCTTGGCTTTCAAAATCAGTGAATGATTATGATCTGGATCTTTTTTCATTCTACTTGTGGGATTGTTTTATAGCCCTTTGTTTCATAATATAGTTAGATAAATAATAATAGTAAATAAAGGACTTGATTTTTACACCTTAATAGTTTGCTGTGTATAAGAATTGTTCATCTGCTTATGGAAAGAGAAAAGGAAACTCCATAGTATCCTACTAGGCTGGCTTTGCCTTGGCTGCTGTGTCTGAGCACTTCTGCTCCTGGAGATGCTACGCTGAGGGAAGCTGCCGCAACTTCTGACCTTCCAGGGACAGCTCTGGGGAATGGGATCGGGGGTGAGATCTACCCTCTGCCAGTGGGGGCTGTACAAGTAACTGCTGGCAGCAGGGAAACAGGCATTTCCAGGAACATTGAGTCCTGCTCCTGATCCTGGAGGTGTGTGTGTTCTGCTGGCACAGCCCTGCTTCCGACCCATGCTTCTTGGTGGTTTCCTGCCTCTGCTCTGCTCGGTGCTCACCACCTTTTCTCATTGGCATGTGGTTTTGGTTCTCTTGGCCAGTTGTGTCTTTTCCTAGGTAGTTCTGCTGGTTGCCTGTTCCTCATGTGAAGGCAGCAGCTTTTTTCCTGCTAAAAGTCTCACTCAGATGTGCAGGGGACTCAGCTCCACTTTCTGTCATTCATCTTTGTACAGCAGAAAGCCATGCTCCTACCTGGCCTTCTTCATCGGTCATTGAAAGATTGATTTCTGTTTCTAATGCTGAAGTCTTCTGTTTTATGTGGTGTTCAATACACATGCTGCCCTTAACTGTGTAAGTTGTGAGTAGATCTGAGAAACTTCTTTACGTAGTAGATTTGTTCACACATTGAGAAGCTGTTATGCCGTGATGTGAAAGCTGTCATTGACAGTAAACTTTGAAAACAGTTTATTATCCTCTGGACTTAAATTCTTTCATAATTCCCTCTTTGGATGGCTGGCAGGGGGAGCATGTAGAGCACAAACTTGTTGAAGCTGGACAAAGGAGTTGGAATGTTTTAGCTGCCGAAAGCTTTCATTTGCGGTTTGTGGATTTATTTTTCTCTTTCTTTATAATTAGGTTGGTGTTCTTCCAGCTGATGCATATTGTGTTTCTCAACAGCTGCCATCTTCCCTCTAGAGGTTGCTTAGTTGTTTAAGTACAGCAGAGCGATTTCTGGATCTATATTTAATGACTTGAAGATGCTTCTTGGTTGAAACATGCCATATGCTCCTACAGATTTAGATTTAAGTCTTGTCTTGCTAGCTGACGTACACTCTTACTGGTCTTTAAGGTGGTGATGGATAGTGGAGCAGAGAAAGCACCGGAGAGTATCCCCATGCTTGACAGTGTGCAACCCGGGAACTGGGGCATTGCTCCTTCATGGCAGGAGGCTGTCATGGGACTGGAGGGCTTTCAGCTGTGCTGATGTTTCCCTTCTGGTTGGTGGTTTTTTTTTTTTTTCTTTCCTCAGGACCCCTACGGTGTGGCGGTTGGAGGAACAGTAGGACATTGCCTGTGCACTGGTTTAGCAGTTATCGGAGGGAGAATGATAGCACAAAAAATTTCTGTTAGGACTGGTAAGTGAAAACTCACTCCAGCCAAAAAAATGCATTAATGCCGGTAATGTCTGTGCTGTAAATGACTGTGTGCTTGGGAACAGTGTTTCTCAAAACTTTAGGAAAACCCAAAACCTTTTTTTGGGGGGGTGGGGTTATTTTTGAGTCTGTCTTCCATCCCGTCTCCCTCCCACCCCGTAGTCAGCTCCCCTCGGGGGGGTGACCCTGCACTGTTCCCAGCGGCTGCATGTCCCTTCTGCCCCAGACAGAGCCTGAGCACGCACTGCCACCCTGCACAGGGTGCTTCAAGGAGTCTGGCCTTAATTGAAATTAATGGTTTACTGACTGTGATTAAGGAATCAAAATGGGTATTGTAGCTGTAGGTGTAAAGGTGGACACAGGTGAGGCACATTTTGCTTCTCTGTTGGCTAGCAAGGAGGCCAGAGGAAGGAAATACAGCATTTTGAATAGTCAGTATGTATTGTTCGACAGCGGGTAATAGAAATTCTGTTGTAATTCTGAGTGCAGACCTTCAGGGGGATGAGACAACTTCATACTTACAAGTTACACTGGCCATATAAAAGCTACTCAGTGTGGCATAAATGTGGGGTTTTTTAATCCTACCTGCTATCTGTAACAGGAAGTACCAGTAAGGTTACACTGGGTTGTTTTTTTTAATCTCCTTAGATTAGGTTGCAGCGTGTTTCAACTGTCAGGCCTGTGCTGAAGTGAGATTTCTTGCTCCCAGGAAGGACTCTGTGAAGCTGCTTCCTATAAATACTCATTCAGAATATTTGTTCTGTAGTTGCAGAGGTTGTGAAAAAACAACTTCACTGCAAAAAGTGAAACACGTGCTCAGTCTTGGTTGTTTCCCAAGGAAATTGATGATGAGGTGCTAGTCTGACAATGATTTAATACGCTCCTAATAAGCTCAAGGTGGATCTTTGGCCACAGGAATTGCCTTATCAGGCTACACCACAGATCCATCTAGCTCGTTAGCTTGTGTAGAGAAGAGTAAAAGAACAATCCAAATACAGTAGTGCCTTCTTGGAATGCTGTCCCAGCCTCCAGCAGATTGTGGCCATTGCGAGGAGTTAATGTTTTTGATATTACCTCTTTCGGTACGGTTACCTAAACTGTGCAAAAAGTGCTAATTAGTATGTTACTCTTAACTGATGGCTTGCTCCAGTGTGAGAATATTGTATCTTATTTTCCCCTACACAGCCAAATATTCCACAGCAGGCATCAACCTGTTTTATAGTAGCTAAAGCAGGAAGAGTAAACCAGAGCTTCCGTCCAAGCACCAGAGCATGCTCTTGTAGATGCAGCTGGGCACTGGGGTGGCGTATGCGCATCCTGACACTGAGCGAGAAACAATGTCCGCTGTTGGCAGTGCAAATTTTAAAGTAAGATTATTTGGGAATCAGTCATTTAAAAAAAAAAAAAACAGAATCTATACTGTGTCATGGGAGAGATTTAACTTTCAGTATCTAATTTCTTTTTTGGTTTGTTTTTTCTTTTCAGTGACAATCATAGGAGGCATTGTCTTCTTGGCATTTGCATTTTCTGCACTATTTATAAGTCCAGACTCTGGTTTTTAAGATTTTTTTCATCACTGCAGAAGAGCAAGGATTGGAAGCATCAAGCTATCCTTGTGCATTTTTGTATATAATGTACAGAATTATAGTTAAACAAGCACTGAAGATGAGACACTGAACTTTTTATAGCAAATGATTCATGGGACTGACGCAGTTATGGACAGCTTCTGCAGTGGAGATCTGCCTGTTGTCTGGTTTGTTTACTCTGTGGTGCCTGCTCCCTTGCTGGGATTTGCGTGGTTTTCTTGCTTGCTGGACCTGGCTCAGCTGAGTTTTGAGGACCTACTAACTATTGAGGCTTCCTCTTTTCTTCCTCTGTTACACGTGGCCACCTTTCCTGTTTCTTCAAGAGCTGGTTCTTAAGGCTTCTCGAAGCGGACAGTGTCTTGTTCCGTGTTGCTCAACAGATGCTGCTAAGGAGGAAACTGCTGGCTCCCACCTCCAAGGGCCTCGGTTCCAGGGTGTGCCCGAGGCTGGATAACCTGAGCAACAAGAAACCTGGGGGCAGGTCCTGTACCGTTGAGTGGCTGAGCCACTGACAGAGAGTTTTATAAATTTAATTTAGAGGGAAAACTTCTTAATCAGGGATTTTTATCAGGAAATTGATGTGCGGTGATTAACAACCTACCATGTTCAATATGCAATCTGTCTGGAGCGAGCATTATTTGACTTTTTTTTTTTTAAATTTTGAAACATTAAGGTATATGGAAAGTAATAAAGTGGTCCAACTTAACAACGTTCCATTCCCAGGGTCAAACAGTAATGGAATTCTTAGATTTAGATGTGTTCCTATTTTTCTTTTTAGGAATAGAAATGTAATCTGGAAGAGTACTAATAAACATCGTGTCTCCATTTGAGCTATTTTCAGTATTGTTTTTGATGGTTCCCGTCATTCCTGCCACAAAGCTTTACCTAGTGATTATGTACTTAAGGTGAGGAAAGTTTACTAAGTTTGGGTACTGTTATAAATGCCAGTTATAAAGACTTGGAAAGTGTTGACCACTGAAGGTACATGGGTTGCCGAAATACGTGCTTTGCTGTGCTCTTCGGTGATGATTTGGATTCTGAGCTGACGGTTTAAATAACTCAGCAGCAGTCTTGTAAGATAGAAGGTAGGGCTTCTGATGCGTTGAGTCTGCCTTACTGAAGCTAAAGGAACGCGGAGCTTTACCAATTTCGCCTGTTCCATTTGTAGCTCACAAACAGAGCAGGCCCTAATCTTCCTCTTGGGTTTCTCTGCCCAGAAACGCCCTAAATGCTACATTTCTCAAACTCTTTTGGGATGGCAGCGGCACGGTACCTGTCCTGCGCAGTGGGTATGGAATCGGGCCACAGTTTCAGGCTCCAGGTCTGGGTGTTCATGGCTTGGCCTGAAGGAAGGGTGCTGCTGGCAGTCCCGCTGCTGATTGTGAGGTGAGGCGCTGCCTGGGCTTGGTGCTCTGGTTTGGTTTTGGTTTTTTGTTTTTGTTATTCTTTTGAACAACAACTTGTAGCCAGAACCTGCAGCCTTTTCCTTTCCTGCAGCCTGGAAACACATGCTCTGTCCCTGGCTTCAGCTCCTGTGTGGAGCGGATTTGTAGCAGAAGTCATGTTCAAACAGGGCAGGAACAGGGAACCCAAAATAGGGAAGAGCCTAAACTTAACTGTTTGCTGGACAACTGCTCACTGTATTAATCCAAAGTGGTGCTGCTGGGCTGCAGTGGGCCCTGCAGGTGTGTCCTGGGTGAAGTCACTGTGGTGCCACACTTCATCCTGCTGAAAATTCTTGCTCAAAATCAAAAAAGCCAAACCAGTTGGCCGTGCTCTAATGTAGCAGCTTTCCAAACTTTCTGTGTGCTGTTTTGATATGAAAACGGTTTGGAGCGACAGGAAAATGATGCTATTTAATGTGTTGCTTGTAGGGGGGGGGGAGTGCAAAGCTGCAGAACAAATCTCTGCAACTTCCACGTTTGTATTTTGCTATTACAGACGTCCGTGTGCTGCCACGTACCGCTCTGGACCAGCCACAGCAATGGACTTGGCCTCTCCCTCGCGCTAGCCAGGCAGGCAGGAGTCTGTTCCAGTAGTGGTCTTTGCTTAGTTTTTTTAAAGCACAAACATTGACTTGCCCTTGGCAATCTGTTATAAAATTAAATAGCTCGTGAAACTTCAGTAAAAGCTTTGGAAGCTGTGTCTCAAAGCACTTGCACCCTGGGTGTCTCTTGGCTGTTGGCTGGTTCGGGGGTGTCACAGATGGAGTAAGAGGGAGGCAAAAATAATGTGGTTTATTGGTGTAAAACAGTGAGTTAACAAAGTTCAGTGGTAACTGCGACAATAGTTTGAGATTCGATGGCAAGGTACACTTTGTTATTTACTGCACAGAGG